AAATATCAACCATACCAAAAATAAAATAATTGACATTGATTTATGCAATCTTTGAAAAATGCTCTTGATGAAAGAGTTTATTAGAAAAATGATTCCAGGAATCATTTTAATAGACACTCAAATAATAGGAATTTATCTTACACAATGATATCATTTATTGTACTAAAATATATTAGATGTACAAATTCTGTCATCTTTACCTACAACGATTTCTTGTTGGTTGGATTAGGACTTATATAAAGGGGAGTTAGGAAGTTAAAATAATTATATTCTTGTTGTCATTCTACGAAGAGATTTGTTATCCTCTAACTAAGCCATTTTTTCATCTTACACCTGATTAGGTTATGGATTGACATTAGTTCACTCTGTTTATGGAAAAAAATGAAGATTTATGATTGCCTCCAAAATTTTGACATAAAAGATTATCTTTTTCATCACTCCTTTTGTCTTTTTTCCAATAAAAAAAGAAAAACAAAAGATATGACATTAAAAAACATGGGAGAGAACAATTTTTTTTATTTTTCCATTTTAATTGTGTGAAAAAAATTCAAATCATAATAAAATAAAAAAATATCAAAAGAAAACGACAGACAAACAGGAGTGGTGTAAAAAAATAAAATCAAAATAAGTGTAAATTAAAATAAAATTTTAGGAGAGAATTATTATACAAATGGAGACAAATGATATTAAATGAAAATAAAATATTTTTTTATTTATCCGGACAAAATTAGGTGTTAATAACCATCTCAATAGTTGGTAATGTTGTTGATGGATGAGTTTATTAGAAAAATGATCTTATAAATTATTTTAATACGTACTCAAATAATAGGACATATTTTTTCCAAGGTAATCCCCAACGAAGAAAACATACTTCTTCCTTTTTTTTTTTATCGAAGATATCAAAACCATAGCCTATATCTCACAAAATAATCCACCACAAATAAAAACTGATAAAAAGACCCTAATTACATAAAAAGCTATTGTGGCTCCTTGTGGAATAAATGAGAAATTACTAATTTCCTCGAAAAAAAAGGGGAATATCCACACCAAGATAATTGGAAATTGCAACCAACAATAATCTCAAATAACCTAACAAAATGATAAAGACTTACACAGATGACCATATGATAATAATTAAAGAGACAATACTTAACATGTTTCTTTCTTTTCCATTAACGATTACATTTTGTAGTCAATTATGGATGATGAAGAGAAAAAGAGGGAGAAAATGAATTTAAAGAAACTCACATATGTTATTCTAACTTTTGTGATACGTTAATGATGGTGATGTACTAGAAAGTGTTAGACGTAAATATTCTATTATCATTACCTATAACGGTTCCTGTTGATTAGATTAGGAGTTATAGAAATCATAGTTAAGAAGTTAAAATACATGTCATTATCATTCTACTAGGAGGTTTGTTATCTTTTAGGTGGTATATGTTTTGACTAGGCCATTTTCTCATTTTATAAGTTATGGATTGACATTGGTATATGCAAAGGTATATGCAATGTATTTTGTGGTAATGAGTTTTGTTATAAAAGTAGTTAAGAGCAATGAAATATGCATTATTTTGGTTTTCCAAACTCGAGGCTTACTAGTTTCATTTAAGTTCTCTCGATTTATGTGGTCAAATGTCAAATCTTTTACTTAATATAATTTTCAAACTCTAATTCTCTTTATTTGTAACAAGAGAGAACAATTTTTTATTTTTTCTATTTTAATTATCTGGACAAAAATTCAAATCATAATAAAATTAAAATTAAGAATAAAAAAAACATAAACTATTCTAAAAATAAAATAATAGAAAATGACACACAAGATGATGAAAAAAAAGTTCAATGGTGTATAAAAAATAAAATTAAAATAAGAGTAAAATAAAATAAAATTTTAGAAGAGAATTATTGTAAAATAAAGTCAAATGAGTGAACTATAAATGAAAAATATTTTTATTATTTATTTATTTATCCAAACAAAATTTCGTCACCTCAATCACTGGATTGGGTTTAAAAAAATGTAATTTTTTTATGCGGGTTAGTTTTAACCCGGTTTACTTAGAACCCGGCTCACCGGGTTCAACCCAGGGTGAGTCAGGTTTACTCACCAACCCACCTAATTTAATTTAATTATTTATTATTTTGCGTTTGATAAAAAATTATATACAAAAAAATAGAAGAATATCCTCGGGTGTCGAGGGAATTGGAGAGATAAATATTCAAAAAAGAATCGATCTGATTCAAGTCATAATATATATGGGATTTCTAAAGTTATTAATAGAGGTTAAGTCTCAAAAAATCGAAGAATTACAGACGAATATGCACAAAAAACTGAATTGTGTAAATAGAAAACTAAACATTGCTATTGTAAAAGTTACAAATGCTTATAAACACCCTAATATTCTTGCAGAATTTATAGCTGGTTCATTCAGAAGAAGAACCTTATAAAGATCGTATTAATTCTTATCTAAGAAAAACAGGATTAACTGAGGCTGTTCAAACAGGGACAGGTCAAGTAAATGGTATTCCTGTAGCAATTGGTATTATGGATTTTAAGTTTATGGGAGGTAGCATGGGATCCGTAGTAGGTGAGAAAATCACCCGTTTGGTAGAATATGCTACTAATCAACTTTTACCTCTTATTCTCGTATGTTCGTCCGGAGGAGCGCGTATGCAAGAAGGAAGTTTGAGCTTGATGCAAATGGCTAAAATTTCAATATCATTAGTTAGCATTATTTTTAATTATAACGGTGATAAAGAAGAAGATGTTTCAAAAGAGAAAAATATTATAGATTTATCTATTCAATACTCTAATATTATAAATGGACAACTGATACAAAAATTATCACTATTAAAAACTTATTTGTTGGCCTTTTTTTTTACATGTTTTTGGATTATGTTTGAATTGTATGATATTTTTTTTGTTGAATTATCTTCAAGCTTATAATTAAATGAGTTACTGAGACAACCCATTTAACCCATCAAAATTCGAATTTTTTTTAGTTAAATAAGTTTTGTTGGATTGACTCATTAAATAATCAACCTATGTAAGCTTAGCTGAGTCCGCTTATCTTTGACATTTATAATAAAGTAAAATACAAAATTCTCCCATAAACTGATCTTCTATCTCTTCGTCATCCTTTACTTTTTTTTTTTTTCATGACCAACATCTCCTTTGCTTGGGTTTTCTTCTATTTAACCTTTGCCTACTTTTGATTGACTTCTTACTAACCATATTCATCTCTTTATATTCATGTTTCTCTCTTATCAAGAATATCTTTTCCATTTAAGTGACTTGAATTCCTAATCTCCTATCGAAGGTCGTTGTGTTCCTTTGGCGTTTCTCTCATCAAGAACGACACAGTGAACTTTTCAAGAAAAAATAAAATATAATAAAATATAAAGATTATTATGTCAAAACTTTTCTTATATGCACCAAAATTTTAAGTCCCTCCTTCAGTACTGCAATGATATACGCTAGTCAAAAGGGTTTTGGTTCCCTTGAAAGAAAGTTTTGTTAATAGATACTATTTTACCGCTTTAATTTCAACCAGTTATATTTTTTAATTATTTTGATTCTGTTTTAGTCAACAAAAATTTTCAATCATTGAAATTATTAATTATTTCTATAAATTGTCCACCACTTCTCACTTAGGGGACCACGATAATTTAGAACTTTTTACGAAAAACTTCCAAGAAAAAGGAAAAATAAAATTATTGTTTATAAATTAACTACTTTATATATAATTTAATTTTTAAATACTTCTTCATATACTTTTTCAAAATTTTATTTTGATATATGTATAAATTAATATATTAAATTACAAAAATATTGATTTTTCGAATGTTTTTTTCCCAAAGTTTATATATAGTCGAACAAGTTTTCAGACTTTTTATCACTTTTGTTCTCGTCATCTCCTAAATCCCCTTGTTATTTACTAGTTTTAATTATACGTTAAGTATTTGTTATTATAATTCGATTATGAATTTTTAAAAATCAATATAGTGTAAAAAATATTTAAAAATACTTATTATTTTCAACGTAATAAATTTAAATTACGGATATTTTCTCAGCAGATTTTCTCTCACGTGACGAAAATACTTTCATTTATCGCAACATTTAGTTTTCTCTTTTCTTCTCACTTAATTAAGTCATCAATTATTAAAATTTTCACTATAAAAAAATTTATTTTTAATTAGGAAATTGGTTTCTAAACAAATTTTTGTCACTAAAATAAGATCATTATTTATAAATTTTTTTTATAGTGTATACATAATGTATTTTTTAATATAAATTAATATTAAAACAATAAATTACATTAATCACACCATTTTTTATTAATTATAAAATCTCATATATTTTTTAAGATATGAATACAAGAAAGTAATATAACAAGACAAAATATAACTTAAATGATACAGACTCAATTAAAAAAAAAACTAAACACTCAATAAATAAATACAAAAATTTAATAGAACCTACGTTAAAAGTACATATATTTTATAAGGGAATGAAAACCTAATTAAGCCTACATTATATTATACAACATTGAAAAGAAAAAAATCCTTCAACTCATATGCAAAGAAGAAAGTTCTTAGTCAATCACGCATCTTAGTGTATTCTGATTGACTGACTTCAACATAAAAGAAACCAGAAAAAAATAAATAAAAGTATATCAAAACTTCGTGGCACGCGAGAGACTAAGACAGATTTTGTATTAGAAACGTCTTTACTTGATGAGTTGATGATTTTGTTTTTCCAAATTGCGTGCTATTTGACTTAGACTCCCAAGTTTTCAACTCACCAGTCTCTTTAGACTGCCTTTCTGTCTTCTTTTCCTATCTCTCTCTGCATACATTTCAAATAACGCTTTTGGCAGTGTCAAACTAGGCCCCACCTGCAACCATTATGGCCACATATCACAACTATATAACACCCAATCCACATGCAGTAAATCTCAACACTCAAAACACCTCATAACAGTACTGCAAATTGGAAACAGTCTTCTTGTTCTGATGGGTGAAGCTCCGAAGATAGTGCAAATCGAAACCAGGTACGTGCAAACCGATGCTGTCAACTTCAGAGACGTCGTTCAGAGCCTCACGGGAAAGAACTCCTCCACAGATTGGATAGGGCTAAATGATAGATCTGCCGCTGAATCATGCTCAAAAGGAGGAATCCCTCAGTCAAAGGAAATAGGAGCTGCTTCTGCTGCTTCTGCTGCCACTTATGGAACCAATGAAACTCTCTCACCACCTCCTTTTTCTTCCTCCACGCATCTGATCAATAACATCTCCTTCAAAGACTTTGATGGATTCATGCTGCCTCCCACCGAGTTGATGCCATGGTCATACTCATATACCTAGCTACCATCACAATAAGAGATTCGCATATCATCATTCTTTCACAGAATTCAATTCATATTATATTTATTTAATAACTGCATGAGATGTTTTATTTCATAATGGAAAGCTTTTGGCCACTGCTTTTTATCCATTATATATATGTATGTGCGTGTCACTGAACTCTCAGATTTTTCTTATTTACTGTTGCGTTTTCTTACAAGTATATATGAATGGGTTATTGCAGTTGACAGATTCTACCTATTTTTCATAAGCAATCGTGATCCAGTTAGACAGAATTATTGCAAGAAAAATTTCCCTTCAAATATATAATCCAATGTGTATATGGACTTAAACTTTGAATCTGATTCGTACTTCTGTTTAAATTTTAGCAACCTTCTTGAGTTACTGCACGCGTTTAGTAGCTATTGGTATCAGTGCGAACTTTGTTTACAACGCAAGGGAACCTTAATTACGGACGATGTTATGCAGTAGTTAGCAGAAGTTCATACATCTATTGCTTGTTACTTATCTGATATATCGATCGTTTTTGTTTAAGAAAAATTTCTGTGTAAAATGTTGAACTTAAAGATAAATACATTGGTCTATTAGAAAAAACCTTTAACTCAACTTTTATATTATATAATTTTTTTAAATGATGAAAGTGAGATTCGTAAAAGAAAAAAAACTGTCATTAGGACAAAAGTTGCTTAATTATATTAAGAAGATTTCTAGAAGCTATTTAAGCCAAAATGTCAGCATAAGTGGGTTTAGCCAATCCGCCGGCAAATATGATTGTCCAACCACGTTGTTTAGTATGGATTTTTTGGTTACTAAATTTGCGATTTGAACAAAATCCAACTATAATAGAATATACTAATCCAACGTTGTTTTCATTTTCAGTGGAAATTTTAAGTATGCTTTTGCTGTGGTTTGAGTCCAAGACTCATTATTAGCGAGTTATGAATTTCAATATACAATTTATTGAAGAAGTATACTGTATTGACTTATTTTCAACATGTTGACTGAACAAGTCAAAATAATCCAGGTTGGTCCATTTTGCCAGTTTTGTACAAGAATTAGTGGGGCTAAAGCATCAAAATAACAATTTTACTCGATTGTTGACACTTGCATAGTTAAATAGTTTTACAAATTGAAGGATGACAACATTGATTTTATGGACTTTAGGATTATGTCTGTATTTTTTTTATGTTATCTTAGACCTACTATGAATGGTTTGATACTTGCACATGTATTCTTAATGTATTATTTTCAAACCGAAAGTGACAATGATATTGATTTAGGGTCATATAGGTGTTAATATCCATTTGGTGAGGCGGGGTTAGAATTTTCAATTTGTTCTCTCAGGATAGATCAATCCACTTTGTTTTGGTTTTTTTGACAACGACTTATTTGCCCTAAGAAAATCACACCCTTTTTGGAAATATATTTTCATTGTAACCCCTTTACGGAAAAATGTTTACTCAAGAGTATTTTCATTAAAAAAAAAAGGGAGTAAGTAGTGAACTTAAGAAGAAGGGGGTAGGGGTGAGAATAAAACTTCTGAGGTGCATGCGGACCAAGTTCAAGCTCCACTGAGTTTATGGGTTGGACATAAGAATCCTTTTATGGTTATGCTTCCTACACCCTGTCAAATTTCTGTCTCACCCCATCAAAAAGCTATGAGAAATTTTTTTCCATATGACAGAGAGGAGAGATTGCTTTCCGGAAAAGAATTTTCAGAAATGTTTATTGTATTTGAAAGTAATAGAGTGTAGAAAGAAATTTGATAGGTTGTAGGAAGCAATAC